TTTGTATAATTTATTGTTTGTTTATTGAGACTAGGAATAGTTTATCATAGGAATTTAAATCTCATATAAATATTGACATGTTGTTGTTAGTAATATAACTAAAATATTTGTCTTCAGTTTTTCTTTCTTTCTTTCTGAAATACCTTTCTCTCCTGTATACAGACCATTTATTTTAGACGATTTCGACTCATATGATCGACATTTCACAGTTATGAATTATCGTTCAGCTGACAATTTGAAACAAGTAAGTATTATAAACATATTATGTATATTAAGTATTATTCTTATTTAAGTAGTAAATAGGTTGTTCATTATCATCTTAACTTTACACTAGTCAGTAGTATAAATTCAATATTCAATATCCAAAATGTATTTCAGCTAATTTATAGTTTATATCAGAAAGGTTTTTGTGGATGTTGGTTGAAATCATGAGTCAATTGAAGCTAGACTACTATGGAAAACCTGGAAACACTGAATGGCCGTTTCATCCTATTGTGGGACTCCTCAGCAGTGCGCATCCACGATCCCACCTGGAGTTATATTGAGAAATAGTGACCGATAGAGTTCAAACAGGTCTGTTGTGAGTTAGTAACTCATTGAAGACAATGGTAGATATAAATAATATACAAATTGGTTATAACCGTATACATTTTACAAACTGACAAGGTAGATGTGTTTTGATTTCTTCTTCAATACAATATATTTGACCAAACATTTTTTCAATCCCAACCACATCTATGTACTTCGTTTTCAGCATAGATGCAATGTATTGTTGAGTCGAAATTTCAAACTGAAAAAAACAACTCAATGTTATGTGGTTAGGTATAGTCAACAGGAATTCTTGTCTGACCTAGGTTTCGTGACCAATGTCACGTTTATCTTAGTTATTTTAGCTGCCAGAGAGATGTAACCTTTGTCACCATCCAGTCATTGAACAGTTGTTAGTAATGTGTGTAATAATACATCTGGCATCGTCATCATAATCGTCATCTTATTCTTGAATTTTTCAGATACATTGCGATGAATTCGTTGAATTGTTCGATAAACAATATCCAGATCACAAATGGTCAACAATTGAGGTATTATAAACGTTCCTATTAGTACTGTATATCTTAGTAATTCTGTTTTGTAACTTGCATTTCTATTAAATGGAACCATTATCATTCTGTAGTTATTAATTGCTGTCTATAACCTATCAGCTAATCTACACAGGCAACACACAACTTTATGAACAAAGGTAAACAATTCTAGAATTTATTTAAAGAATGAAACCAACTTTTTAAACCTTTCACCGTATTAACCCAAAGTGTTATACTACTACTATTAGGGACTTATAATTCAATCTTTCAGTATCCTCCTACATGTATTTTAATTGCTACAATACTGTCGTATGTTCTCTAATTTTCAATTATTCTTCAACTGAAGTAACTTAGTGATGTCAATTACTTTGAAATTATTATCAGTGTAAGAGATTTGTGAAGATAGTTGAATTTCATAGTTTACATCACTCATTGATATTCGTTTAAAAAACCACTGAAATCTAATAATCACCGGATAGCATGGGAATCCTCAACAGTACACGTCTGTGACCTAAGACTTATAGTTCTCACTATAAGCCGTTAATCTTTAGACAATTGAACTGTCACCCATTAGTATACTCGAATGAAACAGCTGTTCAACACTCTGGTTTTCAGTAGCTGTCCGACTAAGATCTACCAATAATATAAACTATAATAAGTCAGTTAGTTGAACAGTAATTTTGAAAATGTCTCTTCGGTTTAAACTTATATGTTCAAGTCAACATTAATGTTTTTTTTTCTAATTTGACAAATATTCACTAACTAAATTTGATTGTGGGGATACTAATTATGGGTTAACGATGTCATTCATGTCTCGAAATGTCTTACACTCGATGCGAATTAGCTCTACTGGTTACAGCATCTCACTAGAACTCTGAAAGTTCTCTTTCGAAACTAACCACTAGTGAGCATATGATAATTATCAGTATGGGGTTGTAGAGGTTGTTGAATATTTAATTAATAGTCAAGAAAACTCTTAATAGATAATTGTTATTTAGGACTCCAATTGATCAGTCTCTTGTTGGCATGTGCGGACTGCCTCGATATTACCTGAAGTCATAAGATTTATAAGCAAAGATGGATAGTGGCTAGCAGTGGAATCCAGGACGCGCGTTTCGTCCTATTTGGGACTCGTCGGCTGGATGTACCTGCATCCCATAGTTGATGTTCAACAAGAGACTGATCAATTGCAGTCCTAAATAACAATGGGAAGATACAAGTAAACAACACCAACCGAATATAACTTTACCCCATTGCACAAGCAAGTGGCTTATCAGCACTCAGTAGCTAAGTGGATAACGCGATGGCATCCGAAGCGAACGGTACTGACTTCGAGTCCCAGAGTGAACATCAACTCAGAGATGCAGGCACACCCATCTGACAAGTCCCAAATAGGACGAAACGCACGTCCTGGATCTCACTGCTAGCCACTATCCATCTTTGCTTATGTTGACTATTATTTTTAAGCAATCTAATTTATGAAATGTTTGTTTCCTTTTTTTAAAAATTAATTTTCACATAGCTAAAAATACATCGACTTCTAGTTGAACTTTTTCAAGCAGCCACAAAATATCCACCACCACGTGGTCTAACTCATAATGTCCAATCTCGAGCATTATATGCTGTTGATATATTATTGGAATGGCGTTCAAATGGATATGCTTCATCTAATCCAAAAGATATATATCCTGTAGTATGTGAAGTGAATTTTTCACCAGATTGTGAAAGAGCATGTCTTTATCATTCGAACTTTTTCAATGATATATTTTCATGCTTATTTCTAGATCAATCATCTGATTTATGTAACATGCACAAACTGACATAAACTTATTGTTATTTTTATATTGTAATTAATTAATTTCCCCAGGGTTTTATCTATACATAATAGGAAATAAATACTGTATATGTTTACTCTTTTAACATAAACAATGCTTCATAATAATGTTACTGGTGTATACGCTAAATAGAATTAAAACGTCAGTCTTGAGTGCTGTTAAAGGTATGACGGCGGTTATCACTTCCCGGTCTCCCACACCGTGGAAGGGTTCTTCTAGTGGTACCTGAAGAGAAAATCAGGTTAGGGTTGGTCTTAGTGACCTGAATGTGACCGCAGTTCCCAAGAGACAACTGCTTAAGGTCGGTCACACACGACCTTTTTATGAGTAATTTCTGTGTTGGCTCCGTACTTTTTGAGACCTTACCGCTTGATATGGATGTCTGTGGGATAAGGCGAGATGTGCATTTTTAGGGTCGACCTTTCCTAACCACATCCCTCCTTGTGGGAAGGCAGAATCGCTGTTATGTTGGTTGTCTGAAGGGAACATCTTACTGCCGTCACACTTCTGTGAAGTCAGCAGTACGACTTCGGTCTGCTGCTTTTAGTCTTACCGGTCTTCAACCGACCTGCCTGGCATGATAGGACTTTGAGGAACAACTATTACAGCCAGTATATAGCCTGACTGGTTCATCACGATAGGCAAGCACGACCACATTTGGCATATTACGTAATTAAGCATCTATAATCCTTCTTAAGTTGTGAATATATGTCACATAAAACTGAAGAAAAGAAATCCATTTCATATGTCATTTGCACCCTGACTGATTAAGTTATTATTCGCCATATCGCAAATGATTATCGCCAGGTTCATTTTTTTAACCAATGATTCAACTAATTCCACATTTTGATAACATTTAACGCATTAATCAAGCGTGCACTTCAAAAATTAAGATTGTCTTAGAAAAGTTGCGCAATTCTCAGTATTTGCCACAGAACATAATACCATTCGATGAAGTTGCTGATAGTACATCTAAGATAAATTCAGTGTCCATAGACAAAGCTCAGTCCTATAAGTACACGAGTATCGAATAACTCACCGAAGAAAACTGCATTTATTTTTAGTCTCTAAACGTAACGAATCAAGATTTGCGATAACTCTTTGAGTTTTTTTTCTGGAAGCGATTTGTTAGTTGAATGCTCCCATAAAAGTTAGTCGACTAATCATATTTATATCAAGCAGGTAACCGAATCAATTTTCATCATATCAGTGTCTTAAAGAAGCATAACGTTGTTTCTATTATTTTACGTTGTAACTTAATTGCAAAGGGGAAATCGGAACACGGTAAGACATACCCCTACGCATATTACTTAAAAATGTAATAACATTACTCAGATCAGTTATTTTTAATGAAAAAAAATCAAATGAATCTACTCAAAAACTAACATGTATTCGAATCGTAAGTAGTGTTAAATCAAATTAAGAAAAAAAAATGAAATCATCTTTTTATATGACTAGTGAATTAAAGATCAGCATATTTAATAGGAATGAACAGTCATAAAACTAGTTTTACAAACAGACACACACACACAAAAATGATTCTTTGGAAAGGAAGGAAGCATAGAAATAATATTCATTTAATGTGGTACAATATTAAATGTCAACACGAAAGACAACAATTGTCAAGAAAGTTTAGCATAGCAACACAATTTCTTTTTCACAATAAATGACAGTTACATAATTGTTAAAATTGAGAGAAATCAAAATGCAGGTTTTGGACAACTATAAATCACCAATCATACATGAGAGGTTATTTATGTGTATCTGTATACACCATATATATATATCTGACAGACAACGTATGAAGGTCCCCAAAGGAAGACGAATTTATGTGATATATATAAATAAATTAAGCAGATGAATCGAAATGATTTGAATGATCACCGTTTTGGTATCGTTTTCTTTCTGTTAAATCACTCGGAATGAAAATACACACACAAAACATATAGAAACATAAGATCCTGTGAGACTAGTAGTCAATAGTTGTATTTTTCAAAGGAAAGAAATGTCAGTTATTTTTCTGAACTAAATCATTACACATTATGTAATAAGAATGTTAATAATAATAAACAGGATCATTCTGTCATTATAATTGAACAGATGCAAATAGTTTGCTACTTAATGACTGAACATTGGGATCATTATCAACACTGACGCTGACTGAATCACTAACGGCAGTAGTAGTCTGTTGTTCATATCGTATATAATTTAAAGTATTCTTAAAATGTACTGTTATATGATCAGTGACAGGAGATGGTTCCAAACTGTTCAGTAAATTCCTAATCTCACTAATGATATCATTTATTCGATCATCAGTTATCTGTAAAAAAAAAAGACAAAACAGAACATAGCGAAAATATATTTGTAAGTGAAAAGTATAAATAGAATAGTATAAAACAATTGTAACAAGAAGATTAACAAAACTGACCATCTTTGATGATGATAGTTGATTCACTAAGTGATTCAGTTCATTTATTATTCAGTCAAAATATGAATTTGAGCAACATAAATAAGCTTATCTCGAGCTCTGTCAGAAGTATGAAGGCGGATATCATTTCTCAACTGTCTAAGGTACTACACGAAGTACCTAAAATGATTCTGTGTTGGGAGTAGGTCTTAACGACTTGGAAGTGTGGCTTAAGGAACAAATTTTTCAGGCCATTGACAAACAGTTTGCTTTGTGAAGGTTCTAGATATGTTAGCTCTGTCCTTCTAAGGACTCGTTGCCGGCGACGGGAATCTAGAACAAGATGGGATATTCTTTTCAAGGTTGGTCTTTTTTAAAATTTTATTTGAACACATAAATATTGGTACAAGGGGGCGCCAAATATATATGCGCCACACTCGGTCTTTTTTAGCCTTGTCCCGTCATAGAAAGGCTGCAGTATACTATTTGTCTGTGGAAAACACCTTACTGCTGCGTCAGGTGTACAACTTTGGCCCAGACCAATATTCATATTGCACATGTTTGCCCCCTCATGGTTTATCAGGAAATGTACTGTTTCAAAGGCATTACGTATCCAGTTTTTATTATTCCGTTGGTCAATAAGACACGATTAAGAATATATAAGGTTGAACCAGTGACCTATATTTCATTGGAGTCAGATGGGTTAACATAAGTTGCTACCTTTAGTTTTAACGCTGTACAACGATCTGCTTCTAAATACCATCCACTATAAATGAGTATGAATTTTGACAAGAAATTAACTGACAATTTGAAAGCAAAGAACGAAAAATTGGAAAACATCAAAGATATTCTCGATCCCATTGGTACAACGGAAGTGAGTTTGGTTGATAATAGCCTTGCATTCGATAGTGAGTAACTTGATAGCATACTAGATATTAGACTGAATATTTCATCAGTAAACTTAATAGATCACAACACTATGATAGTGGGCTACGTGATACTTGGATCGACGCGATCATTCGACAACAAGTCGATGATCTAATTAGGTCGAATAATAGTTTATGAACACTAAGCTACGAGCAATCGGTCAGTAAATGAATCCAGAGTGGAGTCAACTTCACATGCATAATAAAGCTGAATATGTCTGTCTTCGTTCCTGAGTTGATCACGGTACACTTTGACCAACACATTACCCATTATATTTTAGTAATTAGTTGTGGAGAATCATTTGTTGGGTATACACACAAGGTAGCGTAGAATACATTCCGATAGATAACACATTTTCAAATTCATGTAGAGATTTAAAATAGTCAGGAGCGATAGTACTAGAGTAATTACTTTCATTTTTAAAGAAACCAGTTGAATAAGTACTATGATCGACAAGATTTATCAAAATAGACCGACAGGTGACCAGTTTTGTCTGATAAGCATAGAGTAATTCCAAAATAATCGCACTGAAATCTTAAAATGCTTTTGTTTCTTAACATCTAGCTATAATCCTTCCTATATTGGTTTTTTTTATGTTCGTGGATAGTAATGGTGTATACACTCTCTGTCTTCCTTTAAACTATGAGATTAAAATTGCTTCATATCTTTCTTTCTATGAACTAATTCTTTCTTCTTGTACTATATCCTTATATACAATCTTTCAGTTATGTATTACCACCACTGAATTAACTACTTTTACGGATCTGATATTCATCATGTTGTGCTAATGAGGTATGGCAACTTGAACTGATGCATATATGTGCCTGGTTTTACGTTGTAGCTGACTGAAAATGTAATGGTCAAGTAAACACTGGTTAGAAAACATATAGTGTTCAAGTATTGGTTAAGAAATCAATGTGATTTACTCCTTCTGAATAGTTTGTAAACAAAATATTATCAAATTAATATTAATCTGCAGCAAAAAAAGGGGCGCGAAATATAAATACAAGATAACAATAATAAAATCATATTTACTTGTACACAACCAGATAAACGAAGATTAACAGATAAATTAAGAATATCAATAAATAATTGTGCACGAACAGCAGTATCCATACATTCTTTGGCAAATCGAGCCGCTCGATCTAAGCATGAAATCACACCTTTTGGATCACGTAACTAAAAATTTAAAAAATGAAGAAAAAAAAGGTAACCAATATACAGTTACTACGTATATGATATAATAATTTAAATAAAAATGAATATTTCAATAGTTGAGATCAGGAGTTAATTGAAGTTAGACCACTATGGAAAACCTGGAAGCACTGGATGACCGCCCAGAGTAGGAAAATTTTATTTAACTAGCTTTCTTTTTCAAAAATAAAGATTTTTGATTTAACCAATAAAGATTTACGCTTTATGAAATTGTGTATTTTTTTCAAGGTGGTTGAAGTCAAATAATGTCGATTATTAAGCATATATGCAATATGCCTCATTCATAAATAGATCCATTTATCGTCAACATTTCCATTTGACGTATAATCTGTCTTTATAGTGTTATTATATGTACATTCGCATGCATTTCTGATACATTCGAAGGATTAATATATCACCTTGGACTGTCGGACGGAACAAAAGTTTACAACTAAACCATTACTCTGCATGCGAGCCCTGTTAACTACAAAAAGATAAGATTCAACCAGGAAAATAAATAATTCCATAACAAGCCCGGGAGAACGAATCAATGACTTTGAAGATCCTTCCAGATGAGCAACATAAACTGAAGCTAATAAAGGGAGTTATTGCGACGGAAATGAAAAATTCAACATTTTACAATAAAATTACAAAAATAAGAGGTTCACCAGGTGATTTCTGGAGACCTACTATCCCAAATAATTTCTTATAAACAATAAATACAACACTAAATTACATTGAATAGTAAGCTTTACAGGTCTGAAATTGTATAATAATGCGGTATGATACATCTATGAAACTTGTATACAAGATTAAAGTGTTAATATTCATTTAGAGTCAACTAACCAGTTATTTTTTGGACATTTCATGCGTAATTTCTGTAAATATACATATTGCTTGTAGAACTAACAAGACTAATCGTCAAGCATCGTATGTACCGATGTACTCAAATTAAATCAAAAGTAATTGAAGATACAGTACAATACATGTTACCTCACAACTAAATAGCATATAGTAATTATTGGAATAGAAATAAAATGCGATTAGAATTATTCGAGTGCTGTTAAAGGATTTGTGAGTGGCCATCACTTACTAGTCACCCATACCATAAAAAGATACTTCTTCTTAAAATACCTGAAACTATAACTTGGTTATTATTTGTGATCGTAATTTGATAAACTACAGAGACCAACGGACAACTGCTCGATGCTGATTATGAACAGTCTTTTTGATAATATTTCTTGCCCCACTAGCTCCGAACATTAAAAGTCTTCCTGTCGGCTACGGAAACCAGTGAGGTTAAGATTTCTTCGAACTCTTCCCACTGTGAGAATGTAGATACACATTTTCTAAAGGAAATACCCTAGTACAGTTAGGAGTGAGAATATACCATCGCTCCTTGATTTTATCCTTTTGGTCTTACCATTCTCTAACCGATCTAATTGCATGGTAGGACCTTTATTGAAGGCTGTTCCAAACAGTGTAACTCGATTCACGCATTACAATATCCAATCTCGACTACCATATCAAACTAATGGCTACTCTAGAGATTGAAATCAATCATTGGACGTTCGTATTAATATTATTAAGATGTAAAACATGAAACACAAATAAAGAAACTAATTATTTTATCTCATTACTTTATTGTAATATTCATCTGATAATTCTTCCGTTTCAGATAATTTTGCATAAGTTGAAATTTCAGGATTATTATCTGTCACAGGGATAAGTAGACTTGGCTTAATTCCTTTCCTAATTAATGGTTTAGTTGGCCAATATAAATGTGTACTTGCACAAACTGCTCGACATTGATCATGTTTACGTAGTAGACGTGCTGCAGCTCGTGTACATTGAGTACGTAATGTAGATTGATTATCACCAGTGAAACAATTAATTTGATATAAAGTACTAGTAATTAATGCAATTGCTTCAACTTGTGCATGAGAATCTGAAACAGCTTCTTCGTAAAGTGTAAGCGCCTAAAAAAATTAAATATAGAAAAACAATAGAAAACAAATTAGATAAAGAATTGAATTTGATTGAAAAGTAAGTGATTTGCATTCCTTGAGAATTATGATTCATTTGTATAAATATGGAAAGTAGGTAAATTTATTAGTGAACTAAATGATATTTATAGATATTATATACAAAAACATGTTAACAGTTGAATTCACGAGTCAATCAAAGCTAAACCATCACTGAAAACCCTCAAACATTGGATGACTATTTTGTCCGAGGATGGGACTCCTCAGCAGTGCACATCCACGATCCCGCCACCTGTGAGGTTCGAACCCAGGACCTGATTTTCCATGGTGGTCTAGTTTTAATTGACTCATGATTTCAACTGTTAAAATTTCTAAAAATCTCCACAAAACCCCTTCTGATTATAATCATCTCACTAGTGATTGACTTCAAGAGGCATTTCCTGGAGTTTTAGTGAGAAGCCGTTACCGGCGGAGTTCAACCGGGTCTGTTGTGAGATGTCAGCTCACTGAAGACAATGGTGTGTGGGGCGCAATCTTGTGGATTGGTTGAACTTAGACATTAACACCGTTGGATGCCGGCCGGCTCAGTGCTCTAGTGGTTAAGCGCTCGCGCGTGAGACTGAGAGGTCCTGGGATAGAATCTCGCAGGGGGTGGGATCATGGATGCGCACTGCTGTAGTCCCATACTAGAACGAAACGGCCTTCCAGTGCTACCAGGTTTTCCATTGTGATCTAGCTCCGATTGACTCATGATTTCAACTATTGAAATTTCTAAAAATCTCCACAAAACCCCTTCTGATAATCACTAATACCTTATTCAGACACCATGTGGTTGATAGTCAGTTTAACTATATTGGGCATTACTGTTGACGTCATATAGCCAATTGATTGCAGTCGGAAATGATTGCCATCAGATGTCAGTACAATAGTCCAAAAGTAAAATATACCTATTTGAAGGCCGGAAAATTTTGATTTCAATTTGTGAGTGTTCACTGTTGAAGAGTCACAGAATAAGAAGAAACAAATGTACAGTATCCCTTCATTATTTTCTTAGCTGAAGCCAGTCCATCATGTAAACTACATTGAAAGTAATTAATATAAGATATACATTGAATTCCGTCAAGCTTATGGTTACAGATTAATGATATCGTTAAGTTTCTGAAACTTCAGTTAATAATATATAGTTTGAAACCATGACCAACTCCTTGAAAGATGATTAGCCGAAGTACTAAATATGTATTCAACAGAATCTGTCAGTCATAATAGAGGTGGACACCTAGCATAAGTAGAAATGTGTTTAAATTCCCACACTACATCAACCGAGTGAAATGAAATTATCGAGCTAAATGGAATAGTTGTAAAAGTAATAACAGAATTAATAGTTGTAGGGAAGACTATGCATATGCAAAATGATTTAGGAATGAATTTGCGCTATTGTGACCGATTCCGAGATGTCACCCAACCTCTCCATCCACTGATTATGATAATCATGCAGAACAAAACCAAGTAGTCTGTACATAACTCTACGCGGGGCCTAGTCAACAAGTATCATTTTATAAAACTTTAACTTCCGTAAATAAAGAAAAAAACGAATAATTTAGAAAGGATGTTTACTAACTTGTTTAGTGTTTTATCTTTTAATGAATTAACTATAAACTAAGTAGCTACATGTTTCAAATACTAATAATAAACATACAGAAACTTAGGAATAGCACAGTAAGTTGACCTAGCTCTATATATGAACCACTTGATGGTAAAAATCTAAATAGAATCGAAATTCTGGCAGTGATTTGATTCCTTAGTGAAGATAGTCAGCTGGGTGTATCTGTTTCCCATTGTTGATACTTACGCTGAAGCTCAAAACCAGTACGCTCTATTTACAACGTTAACACGGTATCTACCGAGTCTAGATATCTACTAATTTGTTCAAACCCTTACTAGAAATTATATATATAGCTTGAAAGTCATACCCATTTGAATCTAATATTGTCTATTGACAGTTAAAGAACTAGATTGTATTATCATCATTAGACTTTGATCGATAGATACAGCAACTTGTCTGTACCTACCTGCTTAACAAGTTTCATTTATTAAAATCATATAACAGTGAAACTGAGTGCGAAAAAAAACAACGTACACATATACGAAAGAAACAATACTTACTTGTGAAATAAACTCATATATCATTGATTCTTGATTGGTAAATTGTATTTTATCAATCACTAGTGCTGAGTATAAAAATAATCGTAAAGCTGATTCCGATGCATCAGCTGCTACTAAACATGTACAACAACGATGACAAAATCTCACTACATTTGTAACACTTTCTTCCCAATTAGAATTTTGATTACGTAATTCATAATAGGTTTGTATTAATTGAAGACTCTAATAAACAAAATATATTCAAATAGTACAACTAACATAAATGAAAATTTTTTTATTATGGTTACAGAAGGAAGAAATAATGAATAATCTTATTTATTTATTTATTTGAACACATAAATACTGGTACAAGGGGGCACCAAATACATATGCGCCACATAAATCTCACTTTATATGTGTGAGGGCTGTGATACTGCCCGGGTGCCCAAACCGAAGCAGCTGGTTTTCTTAGGAGGTCACACACGGAGCCTTTGATCTAAACGCCTGACGCACAAGACAGTGGAGCGACGTCAGGAGATGCAGTCTCATGGTAGCCGGTGACCAACAATTGGTTCATACATCATTTGTTCCCTCAAGATAGTGGAGCCCATGTAAACCATTCGTTTGGAATCAGGGTTTTCCAACTCCCCTAGGTGGACTCTCCGTATCCATCAACCCAGTTAAAGCATCGGATATTCGTTTTTCGTTCTCTCAATTTTGTAAACAAACACTGGTGCCGAGGGAAGGCAATGAGTAGAACTTCCTTGTCAGTAGTTGTATGCACGTGGGCACTTGAGAGCATTTCGAGAGGGAGAGCTAACTCTCCCCACTCTCAGCCGTACCAGGGCATTTATGGGGCGATTAGTTCATAAAATCTAGTGCCACAACTACCGGGTATATGTTCTTTCCTCAATCAAGGGTTTACGGTTAATATCTAAGAATGAGGTTCATCTGTCTATATCCAATCTAAAGATATAGAATTGGGCATTCGATACGTCTGACATAAACATTTTTACTTCATAATGGCAAAAAACAAATTTTCGCTATTATTTTAAAACTACTGAGCAGCACACAAAAGTATTTTTACTGCTCATCAAACATAATATTTGAATTAAGTGCAAAAACTTAAAAGTCTTGCACTTGAGTATACCAAACACTTATGGTTCACTAGTCAAAGTAGTTGTACAGTAGTTTTTAAATAAATACATAAACATATCAATATCCTTTAATAACCTAATATTAACATCCCCAGCAAGCATAATCTTATGTTCATCAAGAATGTTTACTCTACAATTATGTTTTGATTAGTTTGTCATTCTGAATTCTTCTGATTAACTTTAGATAAGTAAGAAAATATTTTGTTCGTTTTAGATTTTAGAAATAGTCAAGTATTTTTAATATTATAACTGAAACTTTTAAAATGTTCAACGCGGTGTTTAACATATACTAATAGAAAACAAACAATTTTCCAGTTTGATTCAACAATGGAAAGTAGAGTCATTGACAGGGTCTATCTCTTGTATTAAGAGGGGCATAGTTCGTTCGGTTCGAATATAAACAAATTCAAAACATAATTGTTAAAAGTAGGGAGATTTTATTTGAAATGTTTGCTAAAAGATGGGATTATACCGTAAACAATAGTACACTAAATATCTTTGGGAAACTGGAAATTTGCACAGTGTGTTTGCCTATAATAAAGATTGCCATTTACGTAACACAAAAAAGTCTGATGTTTTTTTTGAAATCACCCAGAATTCCTAAGTCACTTTGCGACCGTTAGATATTGCGGGAAGGTAGATTAAATGAACACTAAATTTTGGATATGGGCAGTGTTTTTCTGCTCATTTGAGGGTTGTAGTTTCAAATAAGTTAATCAGTATTCACAGAATTTAATAATGGGAACTATTTCTGCAGAATCAACGATTCGTTTATTATAATTGTATTATGCATGAGCAATTAGTTAATATATTATCAATCAGTAACAACGTAGAACATCGTATGTACGTACGTCAGTTCAAGTTGCCATACCACATTAGCACACAGATATAATTGTCGATTCAAATCCCATAGCCTTAAAGATAGTAAGAATATAAGCAGTAATCGGAAAGATTAGGGTTTGAAGATGTTATTCAAGGAGTATAATCCAGTGAAATAAATTTGGAAAGAGAAAAAAAGGACATGAAGAATTCAGAAGATTAGAATTTGGAAGAACACAAAGAGTTGATGCACCTGCGCTATTGCAAACAATTTTGAGCCATGTCATTCAAGGTCTCTAAACATCGGTTTCTATCATCTCGCGGATCCCAACCAGGTAGTCTACACCTACCAACATGGCTCAGTCCACTTGTCATTGACTTCATGGCTTTGTGCCATGTCTTGGTCTGGCCGCCCCTAGCTTTCTTCAAACCTACTCCTACACCGTAAAACATAACACGTCGGGGAAGTCGGTGGTTGGGCATACGTAACACGTGTCCAAGTCATATATTATGATTTCCTTTCTTGTATTTTATAAGTTATTTGTAAACTAACTGTTCACTCATTGGTTGGTACACTTTATAAATGTTCAATTATACTGTATGGGTCAGTCAGTTAGTAACAACGTAGAACTTCGTAAGTACATACATCAGTTTAAGTTGCCATAAAGTATGGGTAAATTCTATCGTTGTCTGTTTTGACAGTCGACTGTTACTACTGAGTTTCTCATTTTAAATAAGCCATAATCTAAGTTTATAATTATCTAGTGTAAAATCATTTATTATTTGAGCATAATCATTAATAGAAATATTCTGAAAATGTCAAAGTAATCAACTGACTATAGTCGACCTCGATCACTTTAGGCTAGTGAATCTAATAAAATGAATTGTTTTTTATTATGAGGAAGAATGAACTGAAATATCAAAATAACATATAAACTATGTACAATGTAACCATTCAAGTCACTTCTAAACAATAACATAATGAGAGAAAAAATACACATTAAAATATGATTTTGAAGATAATGAATGGAATTAAATCATGCAAAGTACTTCTACAAGACTGACAGGATTCTAATCCTGAGCAGATAGAAGTAGTCGAGAAGTTCATGTATCATGGTAGCTGCATAACTGCTGGTGGTGGCGTGAGTGATGAGATCAATGCACGTATAGTGAAAGCCAGAGCGGCTTATGCCAATCTGGACCATCTTTGGCGCCTTCGTGATGTCAGTCTGGCTGTAAAAGGTCAGATTTACAACGCGTTGGTGAGAGCAGTTTTGTTCTATGCTTGTGAAACCTGGCCTCTCCGAGTTGAGGACGTTAGAAGACTTTGTGTTCGATCATCGTTGTCTCCGAAGGATTGCTGACATCCAGTGGCAACACCATATTAGTAATTCAGAAACTCGGTATCCTGTGTTCGGGCGAAGAGACGATAATTCAGTTGATGTCACTATTTTGAAACATCAACTTCGGTGGCTTGCACATGTTCTACTAATGCCATCCCAGAGAATTCCACGTCGTGCATTATTTGCAGACTCTGGAAAAAGCGGAGAGGTGGTCAGTATATGACATGCAAGAAAGCTGCAAAAGACTGGCTTGTGTCGGTCTTCACGACTCCCTGGTTGGGGTCCGAGAGATGGTGCTACACAGTGGCTAGAAACGTTATCAGATATGGCTCAGAATAGAAGCCAGTGGCGATCCTGCTGTAACCTTCTCTTACTTTCTTCATAAAAAAGATGGTTGTATCTTTCTTAACTGAAAGATTTCTTCTGATTGTACCCTTCTGTTCCCCTACTATTGCTATTATAATTATTACACTACCTTACACCAAACCCTTCGTTGTTTTTTTAAAAATTATTATTACTATTATTATTTCTTTTTTACGTTCCTCACTTTTTTCTTCTTCTTAGATTCTCATTGTTTTATGTGGCGGGTATATATTCGGCGCACTCCTGTACCAATATATATGTATTCAAATAAATAATAATAATAATAATAATGGAACATCATCAATTATCACTTTCTAATATTCAACATTTTTTCCATCTAATACAAATCAAACTGTTAATGATTTTATAGTCTTACCAATTTCTTACATATAAAAAAATTAATTTTCACTCATCAAGTGATAATAATAGTGATAATTCAAAGAAAAACGTGAATATGAACTCATCTTACTTGAAAAACAAGTGCAGGAAAATTAAAACGAACAATTGCATGTCCAGCTTGTTCTAAACGTAATTGAGCTTTTGTAAATAATTTGAAACATATATCTGGATCTAGACTTTTAGGACTTGGTCCTAGAATATGTAGCATACCAGCTATTAAACTTTGTGCATCAATAAATTCATTTGGATCTTCACATGTATTAGGATCAGTTGTTAACAATCCATCAATTAATTCAAATAAATTATCTAGATCTGCTTCAGTAGTCAAACGTGATGATAAATGAGCACATGACAATGATGAATCTTTATTTATATCATGTTTGTAATTATTTTGAGTAAATTGTAACACTTGACGCTGACGTTGATCACGTTCTAAAGCAGCATTCAATAGATCATAAGCTAATCGACATTTGGTAGTTTTTGGATCTAATAATGAAACTAAACGTCGAAATCCGGACATTCCTAGCACTGTGCGTAAATCGCTAAGTGATGATATAGGAGCGCTTATACGATGAGCACCACTCATTGATTGGGGAAATGAACCATCTAATGGTAGATACAGGAGGCGAAGTAAATCACGTGATAATGAAGATCCTGAAGGTATTCTGTAAATAGAAATATATACATATATTTACTTAGAGTATGTTTTCTGAATTAATATTATGATTAGTAATACAATTTTCAAAAGCGGAAAAACATAGGACAATGGTGGTTGGAAAACATTTGGATACATCCTAGTACATTGGATTTCAGAACTCATAGAGACATTCAACAGGAAAGGGTGTAAATCAACACTACTGTGTTAAATTATGGAATTGCGGTTTAGAAGGGTTTTCGATACTTCATTTTAAATCAGACCTACGAACTGAATATACCTTTTTGGCAGTCTTCATAATACAAACATGTAAACATTCCAATTCTACAAGAGGAAAGTCTCTGCCACGACAGTGATGGTAACGTCTCCAACCATGATCGACATACACAAACTTGAATTCTACGAGGGACATTAGATCACTTAAGATTGGGAACAAATTTTATTGGTGAATACCAACCATTTCGAAATCTATGTCTACGGTATTGGCTATCGATTATCTTCAACTATTTAACAAAAATAAAAGTTATTGATGAATGACTGATAAAATCATATTTTCATCAAAGCTGTTATAAATGGCATGAAACTTAATCATTACTGAACAACATTCAAATTCAGTAATTACGTATACACATAATTAATCATAAAGCACGATTCTAATTAAACCTCTTCTATATGAAGTATTAACTGTTTGACCTTATCATGTTTAGTGTGTTTTAAAATTTATGGTTCCGCGTAGCTGTCGATATGTCCTTGAAATGAACCAACTAATTATTATCATCTTACAATAAAAAAATTAATGAAAAATGAAATTTTTTGATCAGTCACTTGTATAAATTTGTTACTGGTGAAAGTAATTAGTATTTCATTGATATTCCATTGACAACAAAGCAAAACACTAAACCCCTTCCCCATGGAAATAACAAGCAGTGAATTGTTGTTAACGGGACTAGACACACCCAGCTTCAAATCACTAGTCACAGTATTAATTACAACTGAAAATGAATCGTGTCTCACAAGGCTAATATTAATTGTAATGACATAAAATCATGCGATGATAGTGAGTGATCAACTTAATAGTAGATGTTTATACTATGAATATCAAGAGTTTGAAATATCCCGTTTTTCATATTCCTGACTGACTTTTGAACAGTGTTTGTCGATAAATGTTCATTTTGTGGCTACCTGGATCAGTGTATAAATTTTTGGGTATTTGAAGCGAAAGATACAAAGTCCGAGTACTGTCCTGCTTCGGTCTGGGCACCCGGGCAGTATCACAGCCCACACACAAATCAAGTGACTTGTGTGGCGCATATATATTCCGTGCCCCTTTGTACCAACAATTGTACCGAGTACCAGTGTGTACATCAACACTTGGATACACATACATCAAGTTGTCGAGTTCCAATCACGTCTAAACATGCACTCTGGATTCTACTGCTAGTTATAACCCATCTATTCTACGAATAGCATCTATTTTTTTTAAAAAAAGTTCATACATGAATCAAAACAAATTTCTTGATGGAATTCTGATAGAAGCCAAAATCTGATCTATGTATAAGTAGTAATGCACGATCATCATTACATCTTTTCAAATCAGTCAGTCAGCTACAACGTAGGACCAGGCACATATGTGCATCAGTCCAGGTTGCCATACCTCATTAGCACAGCAAGATGAACACAGGATTCATAGGAGTGGTTAGGTCAAAGGTGGTAATATATAGGAGAAAGATTGCATATAAGGATATAGTATAGGAAGAAAGAATTAGTTAGTAGAAAGAAAGAAAGATTTGAAGTGATTTTAATCTCTTAGTTTAAGCGAAGACAGAAAGTGTATACACCGACGCCATTGTGACCGATTCTGAGCCATGTCACAAAGAGTCTCCAACCATTGGTTACGAAAGTCACGCGGACCCCAACCAAGTAGTCTGCATCTACCAACATGGCTCAGACTAGAAGTTAGTGACTTCAAGCACTGATGCCAGGTTTTGGTTTGGCCGCCCCTAATTTTCTTCCAACCATCCCCTACAACGGTTAGCATTGCATGTTGCGGTAATCGGTGTTCAGGCATACCTAACACGTGGCCCAACCATCTCAGTCGACGATGATTCACAACCTCATCAATTGACTTACCATCATTCCCTAATACCCTGCGTCGGACCTCACTATTACTTACTCGGTGATCCCAACAGACGCCAGCAATATTTCTAAGGCATCTGTGGTCAAATACTAGTAGCTTACGGGTGTCTTCTACCCTTTTCAAATAGTTTAAATAGTCTAAAAAAACAAACTGTTTCTCTGCCTCTTTTTTCTTCAACTTACAGAACTAGACCAACATGATTCAATGCATCTGCTGTAGCATTTAAACAAATATCAATTAAGGAAGAACAATTATTTGGATGAATTATCATAGCTAAATAAACTAAAACTGAATAAAATGCTGGAATATCTTCTAATGGTAAACCATTCATTATTGCTACAGTTTGTATTGTAGGACGAGTTTTCATATTATTATTAGTAGTAATATTAGATGATGATGATGATAATTGTAAATTATTCAATGTTAATTCACATAATGTTAAACGTGCATGAATAATTTGATTTACTTCATAGAAGAATAATGAGAAAAGATCAGTTGTTGTTGTTGTGGTTGTTTTTGTTGACATGGAAGTTTGTTCAATATTAGTAGAAGTATTCATTTCATTCTTTATTATGTTCTCTTGATTTTGATTAGAGTTTTTTAATTGAACATCATAAACTGTTGATAAAGATATATCTTCTTCATTATGTAGAGAAGAATGATTGCCATTATTATTATCATCATCATAATTACCGTTGATATTATTACAAGAAGTTTTTGCTTTAATTGGTGAATAATTATTGCATGATACTTCAATTTTTAATTCACGTCCAGCTTCTAATTCAGTAGCTACATGTTTAGACAAACTAATAATAAATAGGCAAGAAACAAAATAACAAAACTAATTCAGTGAAATGTATAACAAATCAATATAAGTGAATAATATAAGTTAGTGTAACCCAGTATAGTATGTATTATATGATTTGATCCATATCTACTTTATAAAAATAATAATATTTCAATGTCTAAGCTAAAATTAAGCTACTAGCATATGATTGAAAATGCCTTTAAAACATGACTTTCATATGTTGCGATCATTGGGGTTAGGAATGTTGAAGTTAGACTCAGAGTAATAGATAAGGATGATAAATTAGTTAATTAGGTAGTTGGGACATGTGTTACATTTGTCCAACCATTTTCAATCTTGATGCATAATGTTTGTTGATTTAGGAGTGGATTGAAATAAAGTTAGCTGTAGCCAAATCAAGACACGAATTCAATCCACAAAGCTATTGATAGTTAGGTTGAGCGGTATCGGTAGGTTCAGGCTAACTGGTTGTGATCTGTACGATTATTGTCACCAATCAGGAACTTCAGGTGATAGGAACAAGAATCGGTCACGACAGCCCAGAAGTATTAAATCTCCGACTTCTTTTAAATCATGAGTTTCAAAATTATCTTTTTTAATCCCACGAATTTCCGCTTTCTTTTCAAATCATTTCTACCGACACTGTTACTATCACTACTTATGCTATTTCGACATTTGCCTTGGTAATTCCATTTCTCTGTGGTGATATAGTGTAGCAACTTGAAAGTACATTCACATACTTGCCAGGTTCTAAATTACATTTGACTGACCGAAGCCAAATTAGATAATCAGGGTTTCAGAGACTATATTATTGGGTCACATATTAACAAGCTTAAATGGTCATTAAAACTTTTATATCAGTATTAATTGAGATCAGCTGATCTAACTTTGCAATATGACCATGTATTAAACTTCAAAGTATTTATTATTTTAAGGAGTTGACAGGAAGCTGTATTATGCCTCCTGGATGAACATAATATGCACTGTCCAATTCTTGACGTAACCAGCTATGCAAGTGGATATGACTAAGAAATGCGTAGAAAACTTTAATAACCAAATTTTAGATAACTTACGGGTGTATGTGTGTATCTTTACTGACCCAAGAAAATTTAAGACTGTAAAATTGTTCAGACAAATAATTTACAATACCATACACACTCTTGTGTTTCTCATCTACCATGTGGCCTTGAGACAGCGTGTGGTCTGTCTGGAATCGTCCGACCTACCATGTTTTTTCTTGTCTAATACTCTTTGATTCATGCATTTCACTCAAATTAATGCGGATGAAAACATAAACAATTTAGACAGAAGACAAAAAATATGCAGAATCAAATAACACGATGTTTTACATAGAAATTACACAAAAAGTCACTAGAACTCGAAATCTAAAGAAAATGTTGTTGTTGTTTTAAAAGCAAAGCTTATGATAATAACAAGGTCACCGATAATATAAATGACATTAAGTTGATTTTCACTTTGATTTTAGTAAAGCATAATGCTTACCGATCGATAAGACTGCAAACAATCGGCTTCAGTTTCACACCAGCTTGTAAATGATTACAAGTACGCAACAACAGAGGTAAGGTGGCCAAATGAAACTCATCAGGAAAAACCTTTTGAATGGATTGAAATTTAAGAAAAATACAATGACCATCATGGTGAGTAGGGAAATGAGTGATAAAAAAGATATAATTGATAAACAAGTAATTTATAGCTTACTTACTTACTTACGCCTGTTACTCCTCGTGAAGGAGCATAGGCCGCTCACCAGCATTCGCCATCCAACCCCGTCCCAAACAATTCTTTCCAGCTCCTTCCAGTTCCTATTCATCCTTTTCATATCTGCTTTTATTACCCGACGTAATGTGTTCTTAGGCCTTCCTCTTTTCCGCTTCCCTTCAGGATTCCAAGTTAGGGCTTGTCTCTTGATGCATTTTGATGATTTGAGTAATGTATGTCCTATCCATTTCCATCGTCTTTTCCTAATTTCTTCTTCAGCTGGAAGCTGATTTATTCTCTCCCACAAAAAACTGTTGCTGATGGTATCCGGCCAATGGATGTTGAGTATCTTGCGTAGACAGCTATTTATAAATACTTGTACTTTCTTGATTGTGGTTGTTGTAGTTCTCCAAGTTTCAGCTCCATACAGTAGAACTGCCTTGACGTTGGTATTGAAGATTCTCACTTTAATATTGGTTGAGAGTTGTTTTGAGTTCCATATGTTCTTCAATTGTAGGAATGCGAACCTTGCTTTGCCAATCCTTGCCTTTACGTCTGCATCTGAGCCTCCTTGTTCATCGATGATGCTTCCCAGGTATGTGAAGTATTCTATATCTTCCAGAGTTTCGCCATCAAGAGTGATTGGATTGCTATTCTCTGCTTTGAATTTCAGGACCTTGGTTTTCCCCTTGCGTATGCTGAGGCCTACTGATGCAGAGACTGCTGCCACACTGGCTGTCTTTGTCTGCATCTGTTCGTGTGTATGCAATAGGAGTGCTAGGTCATCTGCGAAGTCCTAATCGTTTAATTGGTTCTGAACTGTCCATTGTATTCCGTGTTTTCCTTCAGATGTCGAAGTTCTCATAATCCAGTCGACCACCAGAAGAAAAAAGAAGGGAGAGAGAAAACAGCTTTGTCTTACTCCGGTCCTTACTTGGAGAGCATCTGTTAGCTGTCCTACTTGTCATCAATAGTGATGCGACAATATATGCGACCTGTTAACGTGATCCATTGTCTAGTTCTGATCATTGTATTATTCGTGTTCTACCTAAATTAAATGGCTAGCTAGGAAAGAGTACACTCTTACAAAGAAAGACAAATACTGACAATAATCAGAAAATATCCAAAATCCGAAAAACATGTTTCGTATGACAAACTGGAAATTATTTAAGATGACTGATTGGAAAACACCGTTTATGTTGTCACTTGAATTCTTAAAATCTGTCTTAATGTTTGTTGTCCCACTGAGATTATTTCTATAAGTTTAGATCGAATTACACCTCCACAATTAAAACGATCAGGGTAAAACAAAGAATGTACGAGAAAAACTCCATTGAAAGCTAAATGGTCTGGTAAAGCAAGGGATTAGACATCTGAACTCAATGTTTCCTCAGAACCTCGCCTATACATCAGGATCCATGAACACAAGCAAAGATATAAAAGATACAATAAATTATCTAGCAATTATACTAATGTAACGAACAGGTTGTTAGAGCTGACCTAGTCAATAACTTGTATCGTAAAACACGTTTCAAATTAAAAGTTGTGCATATTGTAATCCTGTTGAAAATACTTCATTTAATTCCAGGTAGTTGATTTGCTTAATTTATGTATATATACATGCAGTTACCTGGATTTTTCTGTTTAGCAAAACAAACTTGTTGAAATACTTTGTGCTGAGAGTTACAAATTCGACCAAAAATATATTAGTGAATAAAGCCATTAACTTTTATAAAAAATGCCCCCAAATGCCCTGGTAAGGTCGAGGGTCTGGAGAGTCCGCTCTCCCTCTCCAAATGCTCTCACATGGCTATGTGCATACAATTAATGACTTCTCGCGGCATTACTGTTGTTTACGAAATTCAGAGAACGAAAAACGAATGCCCAGCGCTTGAACAGGGTTGGTGGACACGCAGAGTTTAACTAAGGGAGTTGGAAAACCCTCATTCCAAAACAATGGTGTACATGCGCTCCAGTATCCTGAAGGAACAAATGGTGTATGAACCAATCGCTGGTCACTGGCTACCATGGGACTGCATCTCCTGACGTTGCTCTACTGTCTTGTGGATTAGACCTTTAGGTTAAATGCTCAGGGTGTGGCCCCCTAAGAAAACCAGCTGCTTCGGTTTGGACACACAGGCAGTATCCCAGTCCTCACACAAGTCAAATGACTTATGTGGCGCATATGTATTCGGCGCCTCATTGTATCAAGGTTTATGTGTTTAAATAAATAAATAAATAAAGCCATTGATAATATTAATAATGATAATAACAATAATAATAAAGATTCCTGTTGAATTGATTTGTGGACGGCACCGATACATGAAAAACAATGACTGAAAGTTTGATGACAGATGAAAAGTGTTGTATCGTATACATGACAGAGTGATCCTAGTTAAACAACCATTGAAAGTGAGGAAGCACTTGACAGTCCTAGCATGAGGCACAACTAATTCGTGATTTTGCATAACTAGTTCCGAATAGTATTTGTGAGTAATTGCCTCACACTGAAAATGGTTGAACTACACTAATAATAGCTTTCTCATCATAACTCGGAAAGCTATCTTTTGTAATTAGTCACTAGTATGCAAATGTTTATTATCAATTTAGAAGGTATTCTCTTTCCGATAGAGATCCAATAATTGGTAAGAATTGATTATATTGACTAAAACTTGTTTATTCTGGTTAGCATCTTTCAGTAAGGTTGTTTTCTATGAGATGGGAATGCTGCACCCACGCCCAACCCTACTCCTTTACAAGGGCTTGGGACTGGCAGTAGCCCTAGAAGAGCTACAGGCGGGGATCGATTAAAAGAGATGAATTAATTGATCAGTAAAAAGTACCTGAAGTGATATTCGTTTTATACTCAGTGTTCGCTGATTGAGTTGTATTAATTAGGCTTAAATGATGACTATTAAAGTTAAGTGAATCGGCGTCATATTGAATAGTATATAATGATTAATAGTTAGGACAAACAAGTAGACAGCTATAGATCTCAGTTTTGTTTTTTCCAGTATTCTTTAACAAAGAGTAATACATAACCCTAAATGAACTTAGTCTATTAATTCAGGGGCAAATATATTCATAAATTAACTAGGTTTCTGTATAGGTTTGCCTGTCAAACTGTTAACAGAATTAGTTATCGACATACGATTAAAAACCATTCATGTTAAAGTACGTTTAGAACCCCATTTTTGCTAAAAAAAATTCTATTTTACGTTAGTGTTTTAAGTAAGTCCCCTTCTTCTACAAAAGGATATCTGAATGACCAAAGTGAAATGTTAGAAAATCTTATTGTGTTTTTCAAATGGTTAACAACAGAAATAGCACGAAGGAACTAATTCGAATTTCCACCGGTTTTAGAAGAGAAATACGATTAGACATACTAAGAAGTCACTAATAAGTTATCTTCTTTAGTCATATAAACAATTGTTCCAGTTATTTATAATCTATATCCTCAAGTGATCCTACTCAACAAAATGGATATATTCAGGCATACATTCTGAACAAAGTAACTATTTTATCAGCATACGTTTGATCTTCTAGGAACAGTGGAATCATTTTAAGCATAGATGGATGGTGGCTAACAGTGGAAAACTCGTTGCGAGTTTCGTTCCGAGTCTCGCTAGCTGGATGTACCCTGCACTCCAGGGTTGATATTCACTCCGCGACTCAAATCCAGTACCGTCTGCTTTAAATGCTATTGCGTTATCCACGTAGCTACTGAGTTCATATAGCTACTAGCTTGTGCAATGGGGTGAAAATTAATTTACATGTATTGATCGTTCGAAACGAGTGTCCTGGATCCCACTGCTAGCCATCATTTATCTCTATTGAAAATGATTGTGGATTAATGGCAATATTGAGGCATTCTAAACTGGATGCACATATGCAATCCTAAACATTAATGGGAAGATTCAAACAACATTTAGATCAAGTGTAATTGTTTACTTCAACAAGTAAACATAATTAAACAATATAAAGTCTACTGACTAGCAAATACAAACTTACCTGTATGACCACATCCATGAGATATTCTTGTGCGATAACATCACGGCATTCAATAATCTGTTCCAAAATCGGTGGTAGGACTTGCTAAAAAAACAAATAAGTAAACGCTAAGTTATGTGGGTTTCAAATATTAGATCGATTTTCAAGTATTTTTCACCACAGATTGACATCCTCTGGAAAATAAATGAAAACCCAGGGGAACGAGACAGTTATTTTGACCTAATTGTTCAAGATTCCCTAGTACTGGTGCACATGGGCTCCAGTATCCTGAAGGAACAAATAGCGTATGAGCCAATCGTTGGTCACCGGCTATCATGGGACTGCATCTCCTTACGATGCTTCACTGCCTTGTGGATCAGACCTTCAGGTCGAAGGCTCCGGGTGTGGTCTTCTAAGAAAACCACCTGCTTCGGTTTGGGCGCCAGGACAGTATCACAGCCCTCACACAAATCAAATGAGATCTGTGTGGCGCATATGTATTTGGTGCCTCATTGAACCAATATCTATGTGCTAAAATAAAATAAAGTAGTGTTCACATACAACCCCAGGACTCTCAGCGAGCAGGTAGATTCAAGAGTGAGTACAAATCCGTCTGTAATTCCAACCTCGATTATATTGTCATATGTTAAGATGACCCTACAAAAGATCGACGATATACTGATAATTAGGGATTAATGTGGTGAAATTATCACTGAATTAAAATTTAGTCTTTAAATATGAGGGTTTCATTTTGTCTGTAGCTCAACTAAAAACTTATATATGAGCTGAGAATAATCATAAGACGACAGTTAGCTTGAGACTAACGAACCTGAGGTGGGTTTAGAAGACTTCCTACTAAGTACGTACAGAAAAACGATACGATGAAGTTTGGTGAAGATTGATTTAGTTGTTAAGCTGTTACGATTAAAAGTGAAATCTATGGCAATGTGCATTGGTAAGCATACACAAGTAAACTCTATGAGTTTAGGATTTTCTGTTAGATGTATTTATCATTGATGATATCTTCTATAATTTTCAAAAATGTCCTTCAACTGTACAGTAATAATGATGGACAACACTAAATACAAATCTATGGTGTCATATTTCATAAATATAATAAGTAATTAACTCATTCACTAGATACTTGAATATGAGCTACACTTTGAGTGTAAGGGCTAATGATACTATCCGGTTGCCCAAACCGAAGTATATATTATTTCATGAATGAAATTAGATATAAGTGAAGGATTGGGACATAACAGCTTTATAATTTAGTTTTTTCCACCGAAGAAAAAAATTGGTTCAACCATTGAAATTCTTTTGTCAACAAATCGAAATGCAAACGTAGACTCAAATACTCTCATATATACAATACGATGATTTTTAAGCAGCTCTATTACGTATAGTTTATTGTTGAAGCGATTCCTTTTGATTATAAAATAATGACAACAGTAGACCTAAAAACAGACTTATGATATGTTGCTGGTGTTTTTTATATAAGGTGACTTTCATATTTTCACTTTTGCTGATGAGATGAGTAACGACCGATTTCGTTATTGTTCTATGTTTGCGAACATCAACATGAATAAAAAACGTCACGCTAAAGGTCTCACTGTTTTATATCGCTCAACATCGATTGATTCTAGTTGGGATAATCGATTCAAATTTGCACCAACAAGTATACGTAATTCTCGACGTTCTTGTTCTCGCTTTTCACGGTCTCTGGTATGTCCTTGATGTTGCATTCGTACCCAAAGTTTATTCATTTCCGAAAAATTGAATAATAGGAAGTTTATACTATCAGCGATTGTCCCTTGTGAGTAAACATGAATTGATTTTTGGCTAATCTTTTGTTCACCATCATCATTAATATTATTGTTATCGTCTAGTTTATTCTCATCAGGTGATAATTTACCACTACTTTTGTTGTTATCATCTTCCGTTTCATTTACAGCTGCATGTGTTGATGGTGAGTCCTAAATATAGTGAAATAGGAGTTAGGAATATCAATAATATTAACAATAATAAATAAATAACAGGCAAAATTAGAAATACCAAAGTAATCTGTATAAGGCAGTAAAAAAAAAACAGTAAAATACTGCCTTATTTGGCAGCTGTTAATTAGATATAAAGAAGTCACAGTGCTTATTGTTCCCAGCGAAACATGAGTTCAATATCTAGTTTTAATTGCTAAACTGCTACATTAAGGTATTCATTACTTTAAAATCAATTTCCGTTGTGTCTCCCTTAATTTAGCTTTAGTACAACGGAAAATACTAACAGAATACAACCCCCTATCAAAGAGAAGCTTTAACATGAGGCATTTACATAAAAGCATAGACTCATCACCTTGATTTTTTCAACAGAATAGTCACATGTATACTAAGACCTAAGACATTCAGATTTGTTGTATACTTGGCTAAGATGTATACCCAGTGAATAAGAGACAGACATACCTATACTACGCACAGTTAGGTTCAGATAATATGAAATTGACAAAAAAATATCTGCTGCTCCTCCTCCGAAGCTCTACATCATATTTCTGTACCAAAACAGAAAATCGCACTTTTGCGTAAATCACAAAAAACCACTAAAGGTTATTGAGGTTAATGGCAAAGTAGAAGTGTTGGCTTTGATATTACACTGAAAAACTGAAATTTAATGAACAATGTGAAGTTTCCTATAACTATAAGAAATCTGGGTTGGACATAAATGCCTTCAAACATGAGATCGAATAATTCTTTCAATTCTATTGTCAGTCTGTTTGAACTGCCGAAAAAACTTAATTTGCGTATTTTCGAAAGTTCAAGTTTATGTTTACAATTCATCAAACATTTAAACTTCTCACAGCCAAATAGCATATCATTTGAAATGCTAATGAAAATGGGATTTCTAGACATTGTTCATGTGACTGGTTGTCAAGATAAGAGAAAAACAGTTAAAGCAACGAGCTCAAATCCAATAAATAAAAATAACGGTTTTATGAAATACCAGTTATTTTGTGACCGTTAGACATTGAAAGTCCGGATTTGTCTCCAACTGTTAATTAGTCACATTTTACACGGATCGCAGGAATAACACTTATGCAGGAAGTCATCTATGAATTTCTTTACCATATTAAGTCAGAGCTTTCTGATGAACAGATGGGATAATTTAAAAGTATGATAGAAACTTAAAAAAATATAGAGGATTGATAACAGAAATAAAAATCCCTTTACATTTTTCCTGATACCAAAAATATATATCAAGGTGACTGACTTCTGACAAGTTGATATGATAATTCAAAAGCTAATCAAAAGTGAGAAAAAACTGATCAAGCATTTTGATAAATCTTCAGTCAGATAACTGTGGCCTTCGGACGATTCCAAACAATAAAGTTGTGTCACAAGTGAACTATGAGTTTTTCACATCATTTATTAGTGAACAGGTTTATTCAGTTGTAGCTCATGTCTGAATACAAATTAATTCCGTTGAGCGAAGTTGAATAGCAGATTAAATTGATACAAACTGGTGATAACACACCAAACTAAAACTCAGTGTCTGTTGGCTGGATATCATCAGAAACAGCCTACTGTGGGAGAGATCAAACCAGCTTCCAGCTCAAGGGGAAATTAGGAAAGGACGTTGGAAGTGGATAAGACATACATTACCGAAATCATCAAACTGCATCATGAAGCATCTATTTATTTATTGTTTGAGGGTGCATCACGAAGCAAGCGCTAACTTGAAATCTTGAGGGAAAGTGGAAAAGAGGAAGACCAAGTGACACACTGCTCCGATTATTGGAAGCAAACACAAAAAGGATGAATAGCAACTAGGGATAACTTGAAAGGACTGCCCAGGACAGAGTTCGATGGTGGGCGGCCTGTGCTCCTCTCTACGAGAGGTAACAAGCGTTAGTAAGTATTTATAAGCACACTATAACTGTAAGCGAAAGAAGGTCTGTTATGTTTTTTTTACTACGCAACACCGCATAGATTCTAGAAAGCACTTGAACAAAAATGTGAAAAGTGAGTGGTGATACATTTCTGAAAGACCATAATAATAATTGTATTTATAAGTATTTAATTCAAAATGGGAGGTTATAAAATACAAATACAACTAAACAGTACCTCAATATCTGGAAGAAGATCACTTCGTAGTGATTGCAATAGATAACTTCTCAAAAAAAGACCTCTTGTAGGATGTTGTACACCAGAACACATTTCTACCAGATCACGAAGAATTTCACGTCGCGACAGGTCAGAACATTTAATATGATAAACTCCAACAGTGATAAGTAAGTACCTGAACAAGTGTTTGACAAGAACTATTAAATATTTCTACGGATGTAAGAAATCAAAATACTATTGGTAAACATCCTCCTAAGTCAAAGTTTATCAATATGAACCACAAATTCAAAAAAATTGATTCCAATTTACAAAAAAGCTTAAACTGACAACGATCAATGTTTCAAATATTGTTACTAATAGTTTTAATGATAGATACAAAGCCCCCGAATGCTCTGATAAAGCCGAGGATCGGGAGAATTCGCTCTTCCTCTCCAAATGCTTTCACACGACCATTCGCACACAACCATTGACAGGGAAGCCCTACACACTGCCTTCTCGCGGCATTACTGTTGTTTACAAAATTCAGAGAACGAAAAGCGAATGTCCGGTGCTTTAACCGAGTTGGTGGATACGGAGGATTCACTTAGCGGAGTTGAAAAACCCTAATCCCAAACCAATGGTGTACATGAAGCTCCAGTATCCTGGAGGAACAAATGGTGTATGAAACAATCGTTGGTCACCGGCTACCATGGGACTGCATCTCCTGACGTTACCCCACTGTCTTGTAGATCAAACCTTTAAGTCAAAGGCTCAAGGTGTGCCCCCGCCTAAAACCAAGTGCTTCGGTTTGGGCACACTGGCAGTATCCCAGCCCTCACACAGATCAAATGACTTATGTGACTCACATTTATTTGGTGCCTCCTTGTACCAATGTTTATATGTTCAAATAAATAAAGTAAATAGAATTGAAGACTCTAGTGAATTACTAAAAAATTGCTCTTCATCTGTCGCCTCGAAAAATTTGTTTTACGTGCCTTTATCCGGGAACTCTGTGACATCTTCGTCTGCTTTTGCTGGTGTTCGTGTAGCACTGATCGATTGGATTCCATTAACAGTCGATTATGTGCTGTCAAATCACAAATTTCCATCAAAGTGAGAAATAACTGCTGTGAGAAAGGAAGCCTTCTGGTCATCGCCTATGCTCCCATAAATTGCAGCCCGATCGCGATCAAGGATGACTTTCATTACTAGTTAACAGTTCTTCGACGGGAAGTAGTAGCCGGAGACTCGGAATACCTATCTGGACTCTGATCATGCTCTTGTTTGCGCTAATCTGCTGGAAGCTCTTTTAACTCATCCAAGCAACTGAAAACAAGAAGTCTGGGTGAGAAAAACAATCTGTGAAGATGACGAGATGTCAGTCACTAACATCTACGGACGTCTTAGACGATGGGTAGAGTTTTTCGAGGGAGATTTCGACTGCTCTGTTGCCCCAGCAACATCAACCAGACTGTCCGACCCTCCATGACCTGTGACGACTGGTTCACCAAATGAGGTGGAAGTCCACAAGAGGCCCCAACTCTTAGAGCGCTACAAAATCACCGGGCCCCGATGGCTTACCTCCGGCTCTTTTTAAAGATGGCGGTGACTTTCTGGCTAGAGAACTGACGACGTTGTTTACAAAGGTCTGGGAGCTAGAGAGTGTACCAACGTCATGGAATGAATCGATAGTTGTCCCTATCTTTAAAAATGGTTCACGTCGTTCCTGTAACAACTATCGGGTATAAGTCTACTTCCGATTGCGTCCAAGCTATTGGCTTCCGTCATACTTCGTAGGTTGTTTAAAACCCGGGAAAGATTAACTCGCGAGGAGCAGCCTGGTTTTCGTTATGGTCGAGGATGTATTGATCATATCTTCACCCTCCGCCAAATGTTAGAACACCGCCATACTTATCAAAGGCCAACAATCGTAGTGTTTCTTGACATTAGGACTGCCTTCGATTCGTTGGATAGGACTGTTCTCTGGGATTGTCTATTGAAGAAGGGTATGCCTGAGAAGTTTATTAACATCCTAAAAGCCCTATATACAAACACCTCAGGCAGATTGAGGGCATACAACCACCTCTCTCCATTGTTCTATACGAGTAGTGGGGTTAGGCAGGGTTGCCCGATCTCACCATTCCTCTTCAACTTTGCCATCGATGACATTCTGGAAACAGCTCTGATGGATGTAAGTAATGGCGGTGTGGATCTGTTGCCTGGAGAAAGACTTCTCGACCTTGAGTATGCGGATGATATTGTCTAACTGTGCGATAATGTCCACGGCATGCAATCCGCACTTAATCAGTTGGCAATCAATGTCCGTAGGTATGGTATGTGCTTCGCACCTTTGAAGTGCAAAGTACTTCTACAAGACTGGCAGGATTCTAATCGTATACTCACCCTGGATGGTGAGCAGATAGTAGTCGAAATGTTCGTGTATCTAGGTAGCTGCATAAGTGCTGGTGGTGGCGTGAGCGATGAGATCGATTCACGTATAGTGAAAACCAGAGCGGCTTATGCCAATCTAGACCATCTTTGGCGCATTCATGATGTTAGTCTGGCTGTAAAAAGTCGGATCTACAACGAATCGGTGAGAGCAGTTTTGCCCCATGCTTGTGAAACCTGGCCTCTCCGAGTTGAGGGTGTTAGACGACTCCGTGTCTGGTCATCGTTGTCTCCGAAGGATTGCTGACATCCAGTAGCAACACCATGTTAGTAATGCAGAGATTCGGCATCGTGTGTTCGGGGCACAGCGACGATAATTCAGTTAGTCACTGTCTTGAAACATCGATTTCGGTGGCTTGGACATGTTCCACGAATGTCGTCCCAGAGGATTCCTCCTCGTGCATTATTTGCCGACGCTGGGACTGGTTGGAAAAAGCGAAGAGGTGGTAAGTGTATGACATGGTGTCGTGGTATGAAAGAAATCTGAAAAGGGCTGGCTTTTGTTGGTCCTTCTCGATTCCCTGGCTGGGGTCCGAGAGATGGTGCAACACAGTGGCTAGTGGTGTTATAAGATGTGGCTCAGAATAGAAGCCAGTAGCGATCTTGCCATAACTTTTTTTTACTTTCTCCATTAAAAAAGTGGACGTAACTTCTTTAACTAGAAAAATTCTTTCTGGTTGTATCTTTGCTAACTTAAATGCTTCTCCCATTATTATTATTCCACTATTATGCGCTAATTTCTGTTCGTTATTGTTCCCTTTTTCTTATACGCACTTTACATTCTCTACCTTTTCACATTCTCATTGTAATTGTGTGGCGCACATGTATTTGATGCCCCTTCGTATCAATATTTGTGTTAAAATAAATAAATAAATAAAATCGAGTGAGTTGTGGTAAAGTCATCTACCAAACTGTTATTTACATGCGCGAAAATGGTTACGGTGATTAGCGATGAAAAAGAAACATCTTGGGAAGACCATGCACTATACTAGTAAAGAGAAATATGTTAAAGGGAATCATAAAATAGCACACTAGCATATATGTAGCGGAGCAGTGGCTTAAGCGTTCAACCACTAAGTTTATGTGCCTCGCTTCACCTACTTAGGTTTAGGCAACCGGGTAGTACCACTACCCTTCACACCCAGGATATGGCTCATGTACAAATATGAGGTGGACAAGTTAACTCGAATTTTTAACACCATTATATCAAACAATATGAGTCCTTGGTTCCTAATCACATTATACACAGCACTGAATAAAGCGAATATTACTGCTCTTTTATGTAGGCTTTCGTACTTAATACAGAAATTGGAAGCATTATTTTAAATTATTAAAGACATACGATTCCCATCTATTAAAAAAAAGTACGAATTAAGCTGGAGTCTGCATATATCCAGTCAAAAAGATATAAAATTAGTAACGAAAAAGATGGATGATAGTTTCAATTCGGCTAGAAAAATGTTATCACCGCTTACAGAACAATGCTTTTAAAGCTTCGCATTTATTTGTTTGTCATGCGTTAGTTAAATGTCTCTGACTAAACTGAATAAATCATTTCAGTTTTAGAGATCTAATCTAGAGAGCCCTTTTTGAACAAAAGGATTTAAGGGATGTGATGGTTTGCAACTTGGAATTTGGAGCTTGGGATAGGTTTACCAGAGAGTAAGAAGATAATAACACTGGTGAAACTTGCGTTCTAATCGCATATTTATGAAGTACTAAAGACTAGATACCATAACGTTTTAAACTACCGTTAGGTTCTGTATGAATAGCAGACAGTGCCAGAGTTAAGGTCTGAAAGTACTGTTTTGCTATGCTAGTACAACGCGAAATTTGCCAGCTATTTGAAAAGAAAAAAAGCAGGCTTAGTAACCAGGTGCGCATGAATTTAATCCATTTGATTTGAAGACAATACATTACAACTGAAAGTGAATTAATAGGTGCATGCCGGAGTAATCAGAGCTTGCTCTGTGGCAACCGAGTGAAAATGTTGCAGATGAAACAAAACTGGGAACAAGTTTTCATAAAATATATGACGCATAAGAATGGGGATAATATAACGACTAGGTTTTTACGACCTCATTACCATAAATGGAAAAACTTAATATAACATTATTAGCTCGAAAGTTAATTGACGTACAATCTAGGAAGAATATTTGAAATATATTGAACCGTTTCATATAAATATGAAACCTTGCGTCCACTTTTGTGTTCTTCGATAAGGTAGGATTCCAGAGTGCGTAGTTTGTCTGTAACAACAATATCTGTGGTGCCGAATTTCAGAAAATCTCTGGCTACTTACACAACTCATAGTACGCTTTTGGTGACAAAGAATAATTTTTCATCTCCAAAAGCATATTAGCAGCATGTTGTATAGCGTCAACCAAATATCTTTTTTCCTACAACGAAGTTAAGAAAAAAAATTCCTAACCAGACAGCATTCCATTTGACAAGCATACTGTCTAACAGTACATAGACATTCCTCTAAAAGACCTTCTTGATCCTCCTTAGAGATCATTGAAACATAACGCGAAGTCTCGAAACAGGCGCGTATTATTGTGCATATACATTTCATATTCTACCCGTTAAATGATACCTTTACCCATACCTTGGCTACTAGAATGAAGTAAATTATTAATGACGACATATATATTATATTCATTACTGTCCACATACTTTTGCAACTCACAAATTGATAGTTCACTGGGTTTTAGAGAGAAAGACTAGGTCCAAAAGGCAGTGGACGGAATAGAAAAAGCTTTCGTTTAGCGGGCATCTGTGTCTAATGACAGTGAATCGCCGATGCCTCCAGACAGGAACTAAGAATATTAACGATAAAATAAAAAAATTAATTCGTAAATAATGGTAAGATACTATCCTTAGTCCTTAAGAATATGGTAAGTTTTCTCTTGAAAGACTCCTTGAAGGTCGGTTGAACTAGCTCAGCCGGCAGCGAATTCCAGCACTTGACGATTCTTAAGGGGTAGATGTTGTGTCTATAATCCGTCCTGCTGTGTCTCCAATTTCTGGGTGTTACCCCTTAGTTTTATGTTGGAGCTAAACTTATGTAGGTGATTAAGGGGATGTCCAGAAGTGCTAAGGATACTGTAAGGCCATTAGAAGGTCACTTCTAAGACGCCTTTACTCTAGTGGATAAAGATTTGGTGAATGGAGGCGCTCTTCATAAGGCAGGAGTTTATTTCGTGGCTCGCCGTTGTATACTCTCCAGTGTCCTTATCCATTTGGAGTAAGGAAGGAAATACTATGTTTCAGTACTGTAAATGGGGACGAATGGAACTTTTAAAGATTATATCGAACCCTCTTTAGTCTAACTGGCCGAAAATGCACCTCAATGTTACTAGTGCAGGAGTTTTTTCACGTTCCGCTTTTACGTTTCATCTGTGGACCAATTTTAGGAGACTTATACCCTCATCGGTATTTAAGGAAAGGATGAAGGAAGTTTTCTGATGAGTTGCTGGGTAAACATTGAAAAATGTCTGGGGTACTTCAGAGATCAAAAATCTATTATATCAGAGTGGATAATTCTCGTGCAAAGTTTCTTCAGAGAAAAAGGTAAAACAGAGATCATTTAGCGGCTAGAATCGATACAATATCACACGATTTGTCCCTACTTTTGGACAGAAGGAATATTCCATTACGGTGAGTTACATTGTCATTCAAGTCTGTATTCATGTTTGTGTCTATCGTGCTTACAAATGTCGAGTCACGTTACAATCGGACTGACATGAAATCTAAACTTTTTCTGCTTCGTATCTCTCATCTTTACTTCGTTTAGAGTTGACTTAGGGTTTTCTTTGACAGAACAAACTATGATGCCTGGGTTTTTGGATCCAGTCGGCAGATGCATTTATTTCATGTACAGGATTATTTTAAATATTAATACGATCCACTTATATTAGGTCAGGAGACTAAGATAAAAAAAATGTTGTCTGGAAAAGTTTTCATCAAATATTCATCGGCCAATGAGATCTGGCATACCTATCGATAGTCCAGTTATCAAACTGTTAATGAATCTGACATAGCAAAGTTGTTGGTCTAACCCATTTCACTCTCTTAAGTTTCCATGTTTAGGAACGACTTTCTTTAAAAATGATGTAAAGTTTGGAAACATCAAGGGCAAACACAATAGTTCTAATGTACCTGTCGAACACACGCACGTAGTGTCTTCAACATTTTGAAGCACCATGCAAGTGAGTGGATCACTTTGTGTTCGTGGAAGTCAGCCTCTTTATGGCGAAACTAAGCTTCCATAGTGTCAGGGCATATTTTCATGAGTTGTACGGCGTGATATGGTGGTTGCAATCCCCTTCCATCGGAATGACTGGATACAACAGAAATAAAATTTATTAATATAAGAAAAAATGATCTCTTAGACAACGCTGATGTTCAAAACGCATTCTTAATCGACAGCTACAAGGACAGTGGAAACGGAAATCAAGAATGAAGGAGTCAAGAAAAATTTCGAAAGATAGTTGTCATGTTGAGAAATGTATGATCTAAGACGGTTTGTTGTTGAGAGAAATGCGCAGCACATTGTACCCAACCTTGAGCTGGCGCAGACACCTGACTATAGGCCTTCAGTTAAGACGTATTCAGGAGAACCAAACGTCGATGTTAAAGATTCGCAAAACTTCCGAAATTTACTTGCCGCTGAAAGGCTATAGTACATGAGGAATTAACCTGTTTTCATAGCAGCCTGGATTAGAGAATCTTCATGAACCTAAGGCTGCTTTTGCAGAGGCATCTAAGTTACAGGGTATGACGCTGGTAAGGACAGTCATTTAATGAATCAGTTTAAAGCATTTAGCTAGTGGAGTTTTGTTGCATTTTTAGCACATTCATTAATTTTCAAAGGCAGAATTTGTTAAATAAGGACTGGTGGTGTTTATTGAGCAGTCAGAGAAATATCTCTAAAAGAATGGTTCTAAATTCTTTAGAAAAAGTGTTACGGAGGATGGAATGCTGCAATTTTCATGATTCATGTAGGTTTTTTAGTGGTATGTCCAGAGAAGTTGAGACTATCCTTGCAATACACTACAAAGTCATTTGCAGGTTCGGGTTTGTTCAGAACATTTGGTCATTGTTGGTTGAATTTCAACAAACTTGTCTACAACCCATGGCCATGTGCAATCATCAGTTTTTAGTTTTACACTTCAATATTTACGCTGATCATGTACTTTATTAGGTTCTCATTTGGTTTAAAATGTAGAAACAACTATAGAAACAATGTCAGGATGATAGCTGACTTTCAAGTCATTTGCTTAGAGGTGTGTCGTACGTGTTAAAGCGTTTACAATTAAAACGGAACAGACATTCTAAAATTTGGGACTGGTTTTCTGAATTATTATTCATTAAAAAACTTGCTGTATAATTATGGTGTGACAAGATTACGTTGCACATATATTCCGCTTATCACAAACTTTCGGTTGTACTATAAATCACTATATTACGATGTATTATGCACGATTTGTTATCAGTCTGTTTCTTACAAGTTTTATTATTTACGGCCACTTTTGGTGTGTTTATACATAATTGTTGTGTGTGGTGCGTTACATTTTGGTACATAAATGTGGTAGAGGTTGGTCGCTAATCCCAGACTTAAAGACAGGGTGTATAAGGAAGCTAGTGACCAGACCTATAGGAACTTAGTTACTGGCTCAAAATCGATAGTTCTAGTCGAGCATGCAATTGGCCGAGCCTGATACAATAAACTGCAATGCGAATAATAGATCAAGTTGGGATCATAAATCGTATTCGTGACTTGTAACATGACATATGTCAGAAAGTTCACAAGACGCAGCACGTACACATACTGCATATTCTGAAAGTCAAAGAACCCAAGACAATATCACACAGATACATAAAGTTAGATATTGTCATTTGGTATCTATTCATAGAAAGCTTATTTAATCGGCCCCATCGGGGGTTAGAAAATTTGATGAACTGAATTTTGTTGACTAGGATTATGAGCTACTTTGTGAGAGACTTTTATAGCACCTACATGCAGTAAGATCAAATGTCGCTTTTGATCAAGGATGTGATTAACCTCGGAAAAATAGAAATCCACTAGGCATGTGGAGCAAGATATTATTCTGATGAAGCCTTGTTATGAGTAGTGAGATTAGGTCATCGCAAAATAGGTGAGGAGACATCTGATCTTTTATCACTTTCTTCATTATGCATAGAACGGCTTGGGTGAGTTTTGTTGGTCTGCAGTTCTGAAAAAGGTTTTTTGGTCCTGGCAGCACACATTAACTTCCTACATTTAAGGCATGTTCCTACTTTCAAGAATGGAGTAAATATTTCAATTAATAATGCTAGTATGGCCGGCTCTGCAATTTTATGAAAAAATGATGGGATGCAATCAGCATCAAAGCTAGAGTTTAACTTTAATTGTTTCAATAGCTGTAAAGGTACTTTCAATGTAAAAGACATTACTGTCGAGGTGCACTACTATATACAATTCTCGGTTGGAAAAGTGTGGAAATCTTAGACAGAGGAAATTCTAAAAACACCAGAGAATTTTTAGAAGCCTGGCACTCAGGTCAATCAGCAATCAACAAGCACATCGATAGAGATCCAATTTATCAACCAATCAGGAAAATCATGCACAAATATAGGAACAAAAATCAAAGCGATGGGACACAACCAAAACAAAGAAGTAAACAATGACAAATTTAAGGTCAGTAAGAACCAATCAACATCGAGGTGCACAGAACAAGCTGTGAAACACATATGGAGAAATTCGAACACTTAACTTCTATCTGAAGTTTGTGCTGATGATGTCGTTCAGAAGAACGATGAAAGCTCCATGACCAAACCATCCGGCTAAGAGAACAAAACTCTATCAAAATATATTATAACATTAACATAGGCAAAGCAAGAGCAGCATATCTACAACTGAAGAACATCTGGAACTAAAAACAACTGTCTGTCAACCAACTCCATAGTCGGAATTTTCAATACAAATGTCAGAACAGTTCTACTGTATGGGGCGGAAACCTGGAGAACTACGAAAGTCACCATCCAGAAGATATGTGTTTATTAACAGCTGTCTACGCAAAATATTTCGGATCCGTTGGCCAGACATTATCAGCAACAATCTGCTGTGGGAAAGAACAAACCACATTCCAGCAGAAGAAGGAATCAGGAGGAAGCGATGAAAGTGAAGAAAACACACACTGAGGAAGGCACCTGATTGTGTCCAAAGGCAAGCCCTCATATGGAATTCCTAAGACCAAAGAACACATTGAGCCGAGAAGTGGAGACAGATATGAGAAAATGACCAAAAATTGAACAGAACTGGAAAGGAAGGACCAGGAAAGAGTGAGTTGAAGAATGCTGGTCGGTGGCTTATGCTTTATTGGGAGTAACAGGT